CTATTGGCATTTGAGGGTGTTAAAAGAATTGTGATAATAACACCTCGTTGCGCCAATAATCGAGCTATGTCTATCATAGGTATCATATGGCCTTGTGCCATAAAAGGAAACAACACAAAATGTGGTTGCTCTTGAGTAAGAACTGCCATTTGATTGAATTTACTGGAGAGATACGAGAATATGATTTGTTATTACCTTATTTTATATGGAAATGCTCGGCTACAAGCCTTGGGAAAAAAGGATAATTTTGTGGCGTGGGATTTTTTGCAAATTATCTCATTTTCTTTTGCTAATTTGGAGGCCACGTCTCCTTATTAGCTTCTCTTAAGAGACATCTAAAGCAAATTAATAGTGAGAAGCAGTTTGTATTTGGATAATTAATTTAAAAAGTATTTCTAAGCATCAATTGATGTTTAGCCAAGCTTTTAAAAAGTGGTTCTAAGTGTATTTTTCTCAAAAGTGTTTCTCCAAAAAGTGCTTCTGCGAAGAAGCTATTTTTTTCCGCTTCTTTAAAACTGCTTCTGCTTCTCCTTAAAAATACTTTTTTCTCCTAAAAGATTGGTCAAACACTTCAAATTCAGAAAAAAATATTTTTTTTAAAAAAAAATGCTTTTGAACTAGGAGAAACTTGACCAAATAGGCTATAAAAGTTGTTCCCGAAAAAAACAACAAAGAATGTAAGGGAGTTTAGTTAGTGTGGAATAATCTCTTCAATACTTTATTAAGATTCGGTTGTGAATTTTTTCACTAAGAGATTTAAAATTTAAATAAACACAAACACGAGTGACCTTGCGTACTACTATCTCTGCCCCCCAATGACTTTCAAAATTTCTGAATATATATTAATTAATATATTGAAGTGTATGGTCATTTGGATATTTTACGGGCAAGAAGCAAAGTGATTTAGTTTATATATACACTTTAACTTTTTATATACACGTAATTTTCCGGCGAAAAAGATTCGGGTGAACCTCTTGCGTCACACTATCTCCTCCCCGGAAGACTTTCGAAATTTCTTATTTTAGTGATGGAGTATATACTATTTTTACTCATTATGATTAATAAGTGTTTTTTATGTTAAAATCTTTGTTTTTATTTCAAATATTGTTTGTGAATTGAAGAGGGAGCATCCAATATGGTGGTAATTTCAGTTTCATAGACAAATAAGGTGATGTAAGAGCAGACATAAGCAAACTGAGAGTTATATGTATCCTGTTTGTTTGTGGTTGCTGGAAAGTAGAAAAGAGGACAAACTGCAACGTCTGATAACCAGCACATAGATATACGACTGAGTTTTAATTTATTTTCTCTCTCTTGTAACCACAAGTTTAATTTCTTGCAAAATTCTAAGTTCACATAGATGCATGGCCCATTTCTATGCCGTGTTCAAGTATTGATTCTGCCATGCATGCCCATATCACTTGTTGGGATCGAAATAATATAGTGACGGAAACTAATAATATAAAATTTGATGGACAATAAATTAGACAACAAAGAAAGTATACTAAAAAAACATACTATATTAATATGATTTAGTCAATTGACCTAAATAAATCTACTAATATTAATAAAACTAACTGAGAGAATAAATTCTTCTCTAAACAAGAATCTTTTCATGACTACATTATGAATATTGTTGTTGTAGTTATGAAAAACAGAGATGTTCAATGTATAGATGACCAATTTATTTGAAACATATATCTATAGGCCAAATATATACATAGTCCTTAAAGTTGTCACGAAATATCAACTAGACACTTCAACCGAAAGTCTTACCTATTAAACACAAATTTGATAACTCCAAACCAACATAAGTACGTGCATTTCACTTCACGAGGACTCTTTTGACATGTCAAATCAAATCAATTAAGAGATTACAAATCAGCCAAAAAATAAGAGTCATGTCAGAAATTTAAATAATGCCAAAAAAGAAAAAAATTTCCGTGACTTTTCTTACTGTCATCTTCTTTCTTAGGATACTGCTTTCTCCTCGGATGAACAACTCATCTCTCCCGTTGAAACCGGCAAGTTTATTTATGTTTTGATGTTAGCATTCTCATTTTCTTAGAGAAATACTACAGTCTTTTAGAAAAATAAACAAAATAGCAAGAAACATTTCCCACCAAGAAGATATGAAGTCAAACCCAAATACGGCTTCTCCTACCATTAACCCAACTAGTGGTTTCCGGCGAACCTAGATGGTGGGGACAACGAAAGAACACATTTTGAGTTTCAGATCAATGCCCAAAAAATATTTTGATAGCTTTGTCTTTTTCATCCAAAAATACGGCAAGAGAATTCATCACAGACCATAATAAAAAGAGCTAAAGGAATCAAGTAACTCATCTCCATTTTCTCCGTACCGAAATGGCTATAATGGAAAATCAATAAAGCAAACTTTTTATTAGCTTAAAAATAAATAAATAAATAAATAAATAAATAAAATTAAGCAAACTTTCTAATCTTTTCATTCTTAGAGCAAGAGAATAATAAGTCAGAATTCATCTTTCTCTATTTCTTTATTATTTCTTTTTGTTGTCTATTTTTATGTTATTTCTATTCATAGCAGTAGAGTAGTCATGAAAAGAAGAAGATGATGGCTGGGTCTTGTTAAAGAAGAAATAAGAAAAGAGAGAAAGAGAAAGATTCAGTAATTCACGCGCCTAGCTCAAAGTGAGAATCACTTCTTGTGCCATATATGCATGAAGTGTTCAATAGGAATAGTTTTGACATACTTTAAGTGTCTAATAGGTAACAATTTGTGTCTAAGTAAAAATTGATGACAACTTTAAGGGGCTACATATGTATTTGGCCTTTTTTATATAATACAAGTACAATGTGTTATATAACAAGTATAATTGGCAACAGAGTTTTAAATTGGGGCCTGATATTAAAGATGTATATTAAGCCCATTGCCGTGAATCTTAATCATAGCGTACGCACTTTTTCAAATAGATTATTGCTTCTACAAGATCTATGTACTCGTCTAAATGTATAAATAACTAAGTGATAATAACTTAATTATTGTAGATATTGATCCAAAGTTCAAATCTCAATGAAAACTTCAAAAGTTGCATGGATTATCTAACTCATCCATTTTATTTATTGAAGGGGGTGACCCAAAATGGCTCCACTGCAACATGGCTACCCTATGGATTAGTTCAACCTTCTTTTGTAAATTAGGGACCGATAAATCGCCCAATGAAAATAATGATTTCAGTTTAGCTCGAATTGCATGACACAAAGTCATTCCTTGAGATTTGAATAGTTGTCCACTACAGTCCTCCGTCTCCCAGATAATAATTTTATTCATCCAAGTAAAAATAGTATAACTTTCTTCGTGTAACTTATAGTACTTATATTTTTAAAAACTTACAAATTTTATATTTGAATTTATACTTAAAATTAAGAAGTTTGACTCCCGAAATTCAAATTCTGACGTATAAATTGAGACAAAGGGATTACGAGTTTAACTTATGTACTATTAGGTCCCTCAAATGATATTTAGAAAAATCTTTTCATAAAAAAGTAAAATTTATAATTTTGAAGTAAGGCAAATTTCAACAAGTAAATATGATACGTGTAAATTTTATTACACTGTGTACATCAATATAGTTCAAAATG